ATATATATATATATATATATATATATATATATATATATATATATATATATATATATATATATATATATATATATATATATATATATATATATATATATATATATATATATATATATATATATATATATATATATATATATATATATATATATATATATATATATATATATATATATATATATATATATATATATATATATATATATATATATATATATATATATATATATATATATATATGCATGGAAAATATTGATTGTACAGGGGCTATAACTTACAGTCGCTTTAGATTCGGGAAGGAGCCAAGAAAATCAGGGATAGGACCATTTAAGCTATTGTCGTGCAAATCACTGATCCATCCACCACCAGAGAACAAAAATAACATTATGAATTATTCATTGAATTATTTATTTTTCACGACTTGGGTTGGATGGAAACTCACATTGTGACAAGGGCATCCATGGAACTAAAATCTGGTAGTGGACCAACCAGATCGAAGCTACTCAGATTCCTGTATTGATTTTTGACAGGAAAAATCATAATGCAAATAAAGAGCTAGCCTAATTATAATTAATAATAATGAAACTCACAGTGCAATTATACGAGGAATGGTGCCTGTGCTACACTGAATCCATTCCCACGAAGAGCTTAATGGAAGGCAAGGGTCACCGCTCCATATAATTAACACCTCGAATTGCACTTGTAGCACCGCCAGTCCCTCCACTAATTCAATGCATTACCACAAACAAACAAGCTGATTAATGAAAGGAGATAAACTTCAAACAAAAAGTAGGCGATCGATTAATTACCATCTCTGGTATCCGTTGCTGGTCCTACTTTAGACAGGAGATAAACTTCGAAGGCATTGATGAGAAAGGGAAGGGTGGAATCAGCAGTGGGGCGGAGAGTGATGGATGTTTTCGAAGAAGCAGTGATGTTGGTGATGGGGACTTCCACTACGCTCTCAAAAGGTGGGACGATGGGTTTGGAATAAGGCTGCTCGTCTACATAAATCTCAAAGGATCGTTTGTTGGGTGAAGTGAGTGCTGCAGGATCCACTTCCGAGAAGAAGGTGGTGATGTACACTTGAACTGGAACGTCTGGGAGGTACGTATATAATTCAAAATACTCGGACGTGTTATTGCCGGTCGTTGCATTTTGCACTACAGCTGCAGGAGGATTATCTTCTGCACCACTCACATCCATCTTGGATATTCTCGCCTCACCTTCCGCCTGATATGCAAACAAACCGTACCCGGGTACCCATCTCCGATCGTAACTGTCCTCTGGATACCTACATATTATATACATAATTATTAAGAAGCAATATATATATATATATATATATAGTAGCAAAGCAAGTAAGTTACCTAATGAGTTGTTGTGCACCTAGAGCAAGCCTCTTTTGCCTGAACAAAGCATAATCAGAAGCAATGCGTGTGTACATTTTAGGAGCTAAACTGCGGAATTCGAGTGCGGATATAAAGGGAAACTGGCGAGGCAGGGTTTGAGCAAGACATATGCTGGTGGTGTTTTTGTTCACTGTGTATATCACCTCGTAATTAACAATGGTATCGGAAACCCCGGTTAAGTTGACTTGTGTCCAGTAGGTGGAGTCAAAGTAGAGATCGAAGGTCGGAGGAGAGTTGTTCCCGTCGTAGTTTCCGTAGTAAAAGGTAGCGCGCACCAGAAGCCGTTGACCTATCATGTCAACGCTGTTAATGGTGTAGCAGTTTTTCCTTAGACTTGTGAAAACTCGTAGAGTGCTGGGCACATGAGGGGTTGAGCTGGACAACTCCACCAACTGGGACTCGCCGCTGTGCACATAGTCGTCATCTCCAACCCAGTTTATGGAAAGGCTGTCGGTGTAAGAATCGGAAGCACCACAATCGATGCTCAGAAACACTGCAGCATCTGCACACACCCATGAGAACAATATCACTATTGAACCTAATATATTCATATTCATTTTGGTTCATTAATCAGCCGCGCATACATTTATATGTAAGACGTACGTACGGGAATCAAAGAATATATAGATCAATCAGCTTAGCTTTTTGTTTAAATAAATGAATAAAAATAAAAGAAAAAATGGGTGTTGAAATAAGAATTAGAAGGTTAACTCGGGAGCACGACGCGACCAGAGCAGGAAATGTGAATATGTTGTGACTTTCTGCTCAACAAATATTCCTTTCTATTCTCTAACAATGATACTTGAATATAAAATAGGTTATTCTTCTCTTAAATTGACAAATAGATCATTAATTACCTTTCGTTTCGTTTCGTTGGGAGTATAGATTAATACTTTGAAATGTTCTTCTAAGTAGATTGAAATAAACTATTACACATAAAAGGTCAACACCTCTAAAATGATTATAACAAGAATTAATTATTAATCTTTGCAGATAACTAGAAAGCTAAGTATACGAAGTTCTTATTTTAACTATAACAATTAAACATCAGATCAGATGATGAGCTTGCTTCTCCGGAAATTCTTAGTTAGACATGCTTGCAAGTAATCAGAAGAAGAACAAAAACATGTTTATGCTGTTCAGGTTTGAGTAACTCAACGTTAAAGTTGACTTTTGTCATATAATAAAATGAGATGTCTTTATTCATTTATATATATGGGACGGCAATAATGTTTAAATTTAAAATATACTTGTTCATATTTTTTGGTAAAGAAACGGAACAAACGTACAACAGAAAAATTAAACAATGACTCGAGTCGAGACCTACAAGATTCCAAGTAAATAATCTTCACTAAGAGTAAAGATACTTTAAAAAGTTATTATTAGGCGATGAGGGCAGGGCAAGGCCCTCTCTCTCCCCAAATCGCACCTCTTCCTGGGAAAAAAGGAAACAATGTTTCCAACCCCTTGGTATATTACAACTGTTAATTAGACTGGAATTTTGTAAACTACTTCATACTCCTCAACGAAAAATAAAAACCTACTCATTCCATGACAATAGCCTTTTCCTGCTGCGTTTATTAATGGATGGTGCAAAATTTTAATGGATTGTTAAAATAAAAAACCAGAATGTACGCGTATTAATTTACGTGGTAAATTAGAGACCTAATATTGTAGCAAAGAAGAAGATATGGAAATTAGTTGGATTGGAATAGTGTTGTTAAAAAAGAAACAAGTTAAGTTCCATTTTTGAAATCCACATATCATCATATCATAGTAATAAACACATCATTTAGTTTTACTCACTCGCATGATCTAATGACCAGAATGAGTGACTGCCTAGCCAGCTGCTAATTTTATAATTTCATATATGATTCATCATCTCCAAATTACTTATTAAGGAAGGCGGCGGAGTTGATGGCCCTGGAAAACTCGTCAAAATCGATACGGCCATCGCGGTCGGTATCGGCCTCGTCCATCATGCCGATGAGTTCCTGAGCCGTGAGGGGGTGGCCCAGCTTCGCCATGGAGTGGGCCAGCTCCGCGGGGCTGATGTAGCCATTGCCGTCTCTATCGAACAGCCTGAACATGTTCCTCAGCTGATCCTGGCTGTAGCTGCAGGCTTGCGATTGTACGAGGTTGAGATCCGGCTTCACAAGCCCCACGAACTCCGAGAACTCCACCAGTCCGTTGTGGTTGGTATCCGCCTTTCGGATCAGCGCCTGCAGCTGGTGATGGCTGGGCTTCACACCCAGCGACCGCAGCAAAGACCCCAGCTCCACTTGCGTCAAGCTGTCGTCTTTGTTCCCGTCGAACGATCTGAAGATCTCCCGCAGCTCCGCCATCTGCTCCTCTTCCGTCTTATATCCTTTGCTTTGACTCCCACTAGTACGAGTATTCATTTGGCCGAAACCGGTCGGCGGTAGCATCACAGCTTTTCCTTCACTAACTATAATTCGTTTAAAAAAATGATATTGGAGTTGTCATCAACCTCCCCTTTTGTTTTCAGGACTGGACTGCTGAGCTGAGTGGTGAGCCGCTCAGAGGTTTTGTCAAGTCGTGTTTGGATTCTTTTGACTGGCCCTCCCTGACGTCCACTTTTACAACAACAAAAAAAATTAAATAAAAGGATAGATTTTTCTCTTCTTAAAAGGTAGCTTTTCAGTGATTTTGTTATTTATTTGACTGGATATATTTAGTATTGCATGATTCTTTCCTTGTTTTATTTCTTTTTTGGCTGAGCAATAATCGCAAGAATCCTTGTCTAGTTATTCAACTTCCATTGGTTTGGTTATTACTTGTTGGAATAAAGAATTTCAAATTAATAAAGATGATGAAGACGAAGAACATGTATTCATTCATCCAATCGATTATTCAAACAATGGCACAAATAAGTAAGTAATCCACGAACCTCATGGCGTCTGGGCCCGGTGGGTGGCCGGGTGGCCGGCACTAATAAAATTCAGAATAAAGCTAATTATACAGCTTCTTTTTTTATTTATTTTTTCAAGTCCTTCTAATCCAATAATACATCCAAAGCAAGTTAATGGGCGACAGTTACTTAATCAAAGAAGCAAAGTAACCAGATAAAATATAAGGAGGGCATTGAAAGGTCATCAACGTCGCTTTGGCCGAGTGGTTAAGGCGTGTGCCTGCTAAGTACATGGGGTTTCCCCGCGAGAGTTCGAATCTCTCAGGCGACGCTAGCATTTTCCTTTTTTATTTTATTTATTTAAGCAATTTAAAATTTTGGGGTATTCAGTATTTCTGAACATTTTTGTTTTGTTTTTGCACTGGATTTTTTCTTACCAAAAAAAATAGAGAGTGCGATACTAGAAAAGCTTTATAAGAGATTGTTTTATACAAAATGAAAGCCGGGCGATCGATTTTACGTGGTTTTTTGTTATCCTCGCCAATAATGATGAAGCAAGCATCTACAGTCTACTCGTAGTTTCAGTAAGTGAATCAGCTGTCATGCAATGCAACGCAACTTGAAATTGCCGATATTGTACTTGTAGTACCACCACACGACCACCATGTCTTTTCTCTTTTCCCCTTTTTTCCATTGATTACGACAAATGCGGCTCATATTAGTAAGGAATTTCCAAGTTTGTTGAGAGTAAAACGTTAGCCAACCATTACAAATCATTTCCCAAAACACTTAACAAAGAAACTAGAGTAAATAAGAACACACGTCACATCTCCATGAGATGAGAGAATGCTTGCCAATGCTGAAACCCGGAACCTCGTTTACATTAACAGTACAGTTTCCATAACAATAAATGATGCCATTTCAGAGATTTTCATCATCATCATAATCGTTAGGAAATACAAGCAGATTTCTAAGTCAAGGCCCTTCAGAGAATGGATCTTCGAATATAACATTGCACCGATACTCTTCCTATATGGTTGATGCTGCAGTGGCCATGGCATGATTCAACTCATATCTCATCGTAAATAAGATAGACACCATCTAAATCACTACAAGAGTTTCAGTCCACCTGTTACATCGTCAACCACCTCAACAGGTCCTGCACATGAGTGTTGGAATAATCCATTAATACAACCAGAAGCTATGCACCATGGCACGGTATTTTGACTTTTCTATACATTTTGTCGGACGCACTACATTCACAAGCTCAAAACCAATCCTACTTACCATCCTCCCAACAAAATATTAGGGGCTTGGCCTCCCAATCTAAGATTAAACCAGGGAAAACCCCCCAGGGGGAATAGTTAAGGCTTAAAAACTTCTTTTCATACTTGATGGAGTCCTCCACTTCAAAGTTACAAATTGAAAAAGGCCCATCGAAAGGAAGATAATGGAGAAGAGAAACTTACCAAGAATAGCCATCACTGTCCTTGAATCTGGAAGAATACATAGAGACAAATAAGTCACTTTGAACAGTCAAATGGATAAGAATCTAGTGAAGAATATAAAATTCATGGCAGAAATGGAGTTGTTTGCATCAGTATTTTCAGAAAACGGGTAATATCAAAATATGCTTAAAAAGTGTTCAAAGAGGATGGGGGTACACAAAACTTGGAAATGCTCATTCTTCCAGGGCATTTCAAAAACAGCCTAATCCATTTAATTCAAGCTTTCTCATGTTGTAATGATAGCCGCCACTTCTCAGTAGTATTTTGAAATGTTTGTAAATACAAGTGCCATGTTTTCTTTTCATAGGAATTTGTTTATAAAAAAAATTACCAAATTATTTGATTCGCATTATTAACACTAACATCACCAAACACTCAAAACTATCAAAACCGTGATCAACCTCATATACAGAAAAGTTTCAACTCACTTGGTGCAATTTGAGTCCTGCCAGCATCGATTGTAATGTGGGTTGGTAGTTTCAGCGATTTTGCCCTCTCCTGTCAAAATCAATAAAGAGTCACCATTAACTATAAAGTTGAATTCACTTTGCTTTTAGTAAACTTGCAGCTTCTCTGAGACTATATGATTGAACAGAGCATGCAAGAAATAATTATGTTTATGTCATGCCAGAAAAGTTGGTATTATAATACTGACTTGCAAAACTAGCATATCTTCTTCACTTTCTATTTTCACAACAACTTTCGGCTGTGCACACATCTCCCACCTGCATATTGACATAACACCATTACAGGAAACATAGAGAGAGAGAGAGAGAGAGAGAGAGAGAGAGAGAGATGAAGATACCCACATTGATCAACAAACAAAAAATTACAGAGTAGTCTGTTGCTGTACCTGTTTAAAGCTTTTGGTGCTCGATGGAGGAGCTTTTTATAGAGGCCCAAAGTCGCATGGCTAAAAAAAATGAAGGCAAACATTTGGTAAAGAATTTGAAAAAATATATAATTCAATCAAGAGAGAACCAACTCTATAAACTATTCAAGGAAAAAGCGTGTTTCACTTGACAAAATAATCAATAATTCTGAACACAATGCTCAGCTTGCAAAAATAAAAAAGGGGCGAAGAGTGATGGGAATTAAAATAAAATAAAATAAATTCTACAGCTACCTGCATTGAGCGGCAATTTTCCCTTTACCCATCTTTAGATCATTTCTGACCACCAAAACCTGAAGAAACCAGTGAAGAAAGTGAATAGGCAATTTGGTTTTCTTTGAAATGTTGGAGATGTAAGTGGAAGTAATACCATTTTGAAATCTTGGAGAATGTCAGCAAGGTTATCAATCTCAAGTGGGTCCTTGTTCTTCTTCTTCTTCTTGCTGCCATTAGTATCATTAGCAAGTGCAGTTTTCTTAGCTAGTCTAGCTGACAAAACAATGCGAGCAGGAGGGTAACGCGCACCAAAGCAATAACCCAAAGCAAGCCAACCTGCTCCTACTAAAATGGCACCCACCCACCCCAACCCCCCATCATCTCTCTCTCTCTCTCTCTCTCTCTCTCTCTATACTTCCACAATCCAATCCAATCCAATCCAATCCACCCACAATCAATTCTCTTTCATAGCTGCCAATCAAATTTCGAAATCAAACACATGTCCTAATATTATCATAGTAAATTTTGCGTGGAAACAAACGGGGGTTGGGGGTAGGGAGATGGTACCTGGAGTGTGTGTCACTGTCAATGCGAATGAGTGTATTATTGGAAGTTAGTAACCCTAGATCGGACGGTTGTGAGTTCACGCAGCCATGACCGTGTAACTTATCCTTCCTTTGGGTTTTGCAGTGGACGAGGTCATAAGAAGCGGAACAAGTGAGTGCGTGAGGGCGGGCGTTGCGTGCGAGATTTGGGTGAGTTGAGTCCGGGAACCGAAAACGATCTCGATGCTGCCTGCTTGCGGCTGGGTCTGTATTGTGAACGTTGACAACTAAGCTAAATTGAGAACAACAATTGTGGCCGTTAGATCAACTTCAACGCCTGCTTGCTGGGCCCTTGATCATAAATAAATGGATCAAATCACTTGCTGTTGTGTTGACCCATATTGAGATTTTAGTCTGTTTGTGCTTGGGCCTTTGTCCCTTTGTCCCTTTGTCCCTTTGTCCCTTCCCTTTAACAAATCATCCATTTAAATTGGGAAGCGGTAGTAGGTAATTTAATTACCATAAATAAAAATTAAAAATTATTACAAAACTTTTATTCTGCGAAGCGAATCATTAAAATAAAAACTTAAAAAATAATAGTGGTATGGGTAGTGGTGGTCCACTCCACAGTCCACTGCGATGTATGTCGCCATGAGGAGATGAGGAGGGAAGGGGCGTGTATATTAATGCAAGCGTGTTTGTTGCGTTGCGTTTGGTGGTTTAAGTTAGACGTTGCGTGTAATTGGGACAAAGGTTAGGAACCAAATCTAACGGTATAAAATGAATAGATTTCTCCACCTCTAGGCTCTCTCTACCCAACAACTTTGACGTTGACTACTGACTTGGGGGAAGGAAGAAGAACAGTCCACGCGGTTTGAACATTTTCCATTATTCCTTTTTCTTTTTTATTTCCATTTTCTACTACTTATTATTATTATTCTTCTTCTTGCAACATGTAATGTAAGGTATACTAGAATATATAATCTAAACACTTTCTTCTAGCACCATAATTCTCATATTTAATCAATCCTCCTGCCAAACGAAGGCCACCTTGCATCCCAATAAGAAATATTATTTGTATCCATGACAAAGTCTTATTTTTTGATTTAAGAAAAGCGATAAAGTTTTATTAGATCAATAGAAATAACATATATTTAGTGTTTTTATTTTAATGTGATGTAAATTGTGTAATTTTTATTTTGTTCAGAGTAAATCATGTAATTTGTATGTTAATCTTTGGTTAATAGATTTTAATTTTCATGCACCAAAGGGTAATAGAAGGATACAACCACCACACCATCATCACGAAGAAATTGCCAATATTGTCAATCAAACTCGTACCATTATTCAAATTCATATGCCGTTTCCGTCAGCTTTAATTAATTAATTAATTAAAAAACACAATATCAGAAATAAATATTGAGGTAAGGCCAAGCTAACGTATAAGAGAGAGAAAAAAAGTGCCTGAAGAAAAGGCTGAAACTCCAAGGAAGTAAGGAGAGAGACTAGATTTCGACCAAAAAAAAAAGGAGAGAGACTAGACAAAATATTCACTTTACTGAGTCGTTGCGCCTTGCCGTCTCTCAACCCACTACTCAGTCTCTGTTCCCTTCCCATTCCAGAATTCTCAAGAGACAACAGGTAATTTCTTAACTTTTTTCTTCATCAAAATTTGACCAATATCGGGTTTATTTTTCATTCATCACGATTCACACACAACCATTCCTAGTCTGATCATCGATTCCCTTTTTATTTTTACTTGATTGGTTGCTGAGAAGGCAGAAGAAAAGTCATCATAGTAAAAAAGAAAACAGCAAACTGATTTATGATTGTTGACCTGAACTAGGCATATGAGTCATGACTACTACCGTTTTTCTCAGTAACCAAAAAGTTTCATCAGGGTTCCATCTTCTGCTTTCTTTAGGGTTTTTGGAAATTTAGTTATATACACTGCTAGATATCTTTTGAAATAATCTTCTTATATTGTCATCTCTTTCAGTTCGTTGTTAAGAAAATTGAGGGGCGGAAAAGGGAGGGATTTCGGGGAAGAAAAGTTCTCAGCTTTTGCCAATTAAGGTCGATTTTTCCCTACAGTTTTATGCTTTCACTTTCATCTTTTTTAGCAGTTGTGATTTTGGTACTTCTTTAGTTATGCTTCTTTTCGGTGTTTTGATTTCAACAACCTGGTTTGAGTTTCTGAAGAAAGATAAGAGGAAAAAGAAATCAGAATTTTGTTAAGATTGCTTAATCTTCAGGCTTGTCCCGAAAAGTAATTTTCTTTGGGTTTCAAAATAAGAAATTCTTACATCTGCTCAACTAGTAAACATAATTTTGCATCTTTTCCATCTTTGATGACAACTAATTAGCATTATGGTAAATTTGCAGGAAAACTTTTAGGAGGTTTCTGTTTTAGAGTTAGCAGGTTTGTGAAGATGAGTGACAATTTGATGGAGAAAGTGAGTGCTTTTGGTGAACGCCTCAAGATCGAAGGTTCTGAGGTCGGTCGAAAGATGAGCGCTGGCTTGAGCTCAGTGAGCTTCAAGGTGAAGGAGCTCTTCCAAGGCCCAAACCAAGCAGATAAGATCGTCGAAGATGCCACGTCAGAGGCACTTGACGAGCCTGACTGGGCTATGAATCTTGATATTTGTGACATGATCAATACTGAAAGAGTCAACAGTGTCGAATTAGTTCGTGGAATAAAAAAGCGGATTATGTTGAAGAATCCTAGGGTCCAGTACCTCTCGCTAGTACTGCTTGAAACATGTGTTAAGAATTGTGAGAAGGCTTTCTCAGAGATAGCTGCAGAAAGAGTTCTTGATGAGATGGTGAAGCTGATTGACGATCCTCAGACTGTTGTTAATAATCGCAATAAGGCTTTGATGCTGATCGAAGCATGGGGGGAATCGACCGGTGAGCTCCGCTATTTGCCTGTTTACGAGGAAACATACAAGGTATCTACAAAGTTTTGGTTCCAGTTTCATATCTTGTCAAATCTATATAACATCTTGTTCTTCCTTGACTAAAACATAGTTACAGACCCAAATCCACTTCTATTCCTCCTGATTTGAGTTGGACTTATAGGAAGTACTTAAAATATACAACCGCAATTTGGCCCAAAGTTCTTCTTTTGAGGCACAGTTGCAGCTCATGAGGAAATACAAAATTTAGCCAGTTTACCAGTGCAAAGGAGCACAAGGCTAATATTGGAAAATAAATTGAGGAACTTGCAAAATTGAAAGTATAACGTATTTCAGAATTTCCGTGGCTTTTATGCTAGTGTCTTCTACAGTTTTTTTATAGCTTTCATCACGCTGGATGGCGCAGTTGTTATCTATATATTACTGATGTTTAAAAGAAGTGGTTTCATGCTATTTATACTTTTATGCTTGGACCATCTCAATTTCAGAGTTTAAGATCAAGGGGTATTCGGTTCCCTGGTCGTGACAATGAGAGTTTGGCACCAATTTTCACTCCCCCACGTTCGGTTTCAGCTCCAGAGTCAGATGCTAGCCTTTCCCAGCAAATTCCGCATGATATTCCTGTGCAAGGCTTTACGGCTGAACAAACAAAGGAAGCATTTGATGTTGCAAGAAACAGTATTGAGCTTCTTAGTACTGTTTTCTCCTCTTCAACCCAACAAGATGCTTTACAGGTGATTTCTATATAGTTTTCTTAATTGCGTATCCTATTTGAGTCCTGATATCTAATTTGATAATACATGGTGTTTCTTAAACCAATATCCTTATTCCTGTGTTATCTAGATCAATATGCTTTATTTTTATTTTTTTTATTGGGGCAAGGGTCGGCTAGACAACTTTCAGGACACCACCGGAACTCAAACGTTAATGGGCCTTTGGAATAGGTCGATTTACCACCCAGGCTGTTCCATAGGACCATGTTCCATCGAATCTAGAGCCAAGTGGCATTGGGTTGACCTTATGATAATATCTGCCATGGAGATAGCCAGTTCAAAGTTATTTTAACTCTTGTATGAGGGCAGATGTTCTCTGATGCAATTACACATGTTTGTTCAAGAATAACTAGTTATTTACTTAAGTTTAGAAACTAAGAACTGGATCTGGTGTTATCAAAAGCGATATGGATTAAATGTTGTTGTCCCTTTGGCAGGATGACTTGACAGCCACACTTGTACAACAATGTCGTCAGTCTCAATCTGCCGTCCAGAGAATTATAGAGACAGCTGGAGAAAACGAGGCCTTGCTGTTTGAAGCTTTGAATGTGAATGATGAGATCCATAAAGTTCTATCCAAGTATGAAGAACTGATGAAGCCTTTGGTTGTTCCGACTGAGCCAGAACCTGCAATGATACCCGTTGCTGTGGAGGCTGATGAATCACCGAGTCATGGTAAAGAGGATTCCTTGATTAGAAAACCAGCTGCTTCTCGAGGTCTGGTCCATGCAGGGAGCCACGATGACATGATGGATGATCTGGATGAGATGATATTTGGCAAGAAAGGTGGAAGTTCTTCTGAAGGAAGCCAAGATACGAAGAAGCAGCAGCCAGCAGCAAAGGATGACCTGATCAGCTTTTGAGAGGGTGTAAATTTATAATTCCATGTACGTGGACTGGAGAGATATGCTGGTGTGAATACCAGGCTATTTAGATGTTGATTGTTGGAGACGCCGCTGGAGTTTGATGTTTGAAAAATGTGAACATAATTGTCGTTTATTTTTTACCTTCCCTGTTCTTCCGAGTACATTGACCTGCACACAAACATTTTGTGTAAGTAATTATTATCAAATTTGGATGCACAGTAATCTGATGGAGTAATATATTCGATTTACGAAATATCCATGTAGTGTGCAGTCCTCATAACTTAGAAATTTGTTTTCTTATAAGCCGGTTGTAGACAATATGCATGTGTATCTTCTTTCGGTTCTATGCGTTAGAATTATATTTGTGTCCACAAACTCTTTCATTCATTAGGTTTAGGAGACATAATAGAGGCGAAATTGTTGTATACAAGCGAAGCGGTGATAGGAATTTAATGCATACTTACTAAGATCCAATCCTATTTCAATAATATGTCATTGAAGAGGTAAGACTTGCATTGCAGCAGTATAAGAGCACCGGCTGTCACAAGAAGACAACATTTTGTGGGTGTGGACGTGTTTAGTTTAGTGTCGTCCTTAAACAAAACGAAAAGAAAACACACAAATCACACAAATCACACAAACTAACGAGAATGCCTGGAGCAGGAAAGCAAATGACAAGATCCAAATCCCCAGTGCTTCTCTTACTTCTCGCTGTCCTCGCCCTCTCCCTTGTCTTCTTCCTCTTCTCCTTTCATAGCCCCTCC